TAAATTATTTAAATTATTAACAAAATCCTATCAATTTTTTCCTTAACTTTTATAATTGAATCAGTTAATAAAGTTTGACCATTTTAACTATCTATTTTAATGTTTTAGGTCCCATAATTTATAAATAATATCATTGTAAACCTTTATTTTAGCGGGTACTTAATATTACCAATTTACTACTGTTTCTCTATTCTTACATATCTCTCTAGAGTAACGGTCAGGGGAACGAAATTAAGAAACAAAATTGAGGAATAACAAGCGAGTAGAGTAAAATTGATAATTTTATATCTTATAATTTTCACTTATCATCCTTCAATTTTATCCCTTAATTTCGTCCCTGATCATTACTCATCTCTATAAATGTTTTTATAAAAAAAATTAGTACCTCTCGCTCACATATAATTTCTGATTCCATTAATAGCTGTCATGTCTTGATGTCTAGAGGGGATTACAAGGACCCATTTCACGTGGCGCTGAGCTCTAGACTCTCACCGCCTAGTCTACAGGATCTGACACTGGTAAATAATTGTACATTTTTCATGCACTCAAAAATTGTACGTTGATACAGTGACATACTGATATTTTCTGTCTTCTGTGGGCTAATAATTGCTTTTTCTGAGTTGTTTTTCCGGACTTCTGCATAAAGTTGTTGCCTGCTTAGCTTTGCTGGAAGGCAGGCAATTCCACTAGCATTTGAAAACGTGGGTATGCTATTGGTAAATGGCAAAAGATAAAGGAATCCGAGGCAGAGAAAAGGCAAAACCATAAGTTAAGCCCCTAAACTAATCCCAAAAGTGCTATCAAGCTCCTAAACTTTAATTGATACATATAAGCTCTTGAACTCTGCGATCAAGGCAATTAAGTCCTTCTTCTTACGCTAACTTAACCGCCGTTTCAGACTCGCTCGCCTGGCTTAACTGCTGTTTGGGACTTGCACGCCTGGCTGTTTGGATGGCAAAATATTGCCATGTCATGCTTATATGACCATATGATAAGGGATTTGATATTTGAGCAAGATTTTTGAATTATTTGATCATTTAATTTTTTTATTTAAATAAAATCTAAATAAAATAAAATCATACATTTAGGTGAAAATATTATTTAAATAAAGTTTTAAATTTAAATTTAATAAATA